ATAGCATGATTGGTTCGATGACAATGATTGCAAAGTAACCGACCCTTAAAGGGTTTACGTCCACGTCCAGTTGGAGACTCAAAAGAGATAGAAGTAGAATGCATAATCACCAAAAGAGACCCAAAAATCAGAAACAATAGATCACAAAACTAACCGAAATGAGTGGGATATGTGCTCACCAATAATGAAGTCGAAACACCAAAACAAGACCAGATCCAAAATAATCTCGGAGAGGGGAGAAAAACCCTATCAGTCACTGCTGAAAAGGAGATGCCATGTGCCGGCCAACCAAAGGGAGAGGCGAAACTTTCACGTGCGCGTGAGGGTGCGTGTGATCGAATGGGAATGCGACCTACATAAAGAGAACCGCGCTGTCGAGACGAGCACAACGGTAGGTGATTCGCCGAAAAAAACCATCGAACGGTGGTGGTCAATGACGGAGGAGCAATGGTTAACATGTTTTCGATGGCGGTTCGCGAGGAAAAACGACCGACAACAATGTAGAGATAACCCAAGAACAAAAGAGACATACGGAAATTGACAAAGAGACAGTATCCGAAGAAAAAAAATCAAAAAGGCGATGAACAGTGGGTTGACTGGAGAAAATAAGTGAATCAAAGTTCCTCTCATTAGGCTCTATATATCATGTGGAGTAACAAGAAACGAAAGGAACATTGAAATAAATTCATGTGTATAATAACACGACGGAGTTTATGTTATATACAGAATTAATGGGTACATATAACCTGAAATACATGATGTGGGACACTAGCCTATACTACTTTTAATATATATATTTATATATTACAGATTTATTGATAATCTAATTAATCTGATTCGAATACTAAACGATAGTTATCCCAAGACCAGTGGAACCTAATGAGTGTGGGAGGGAAGTGTCTTTAGATTACAAAGCTATTGAAAATTTTCAAACTCCAATTTATTATAGTTATTATTAAAAAAGATAAAAAGTGATTTTTATTTATTTATTTTTTAGATTGTGTTTGATCCGGTATGATCAAGGTTTCTGTTGAATATGTAAGTTAGTGGTGTTAATGAAAAACAATCGCATGTGGAGTGAAAGATCATTATACACAAATAAAAGGGTATGTGTGTGCATGTGGATACACTAAAGCGATTAGGATTTCAAGAAATATAATTGTGAGACATACTCTTTATTTATAATATAATTTTACCTAGAGGTGGATAAACTTCATTCCACATAACTAAAAAAGAAACACGTTATAAAACAATTTGAAATGAACATTGAAAATTAAACACATGAACTCCGGTACATTCTTATCTTTCCAACCTGATTTTAATATATAAATTATGGGTTTTATATATGTTATATTGTAGGAAACTTTTATGGCTCATTTGGTGGACATGATATATAGGATAAGAGAGTTGGATACGGGTAGGATATGATATGGGGCTGAGAAGCCGATATCATGTCCTGTGTTTGATGAGTACCTGATTAGTAATCTGATAAGATTATGTTATCCTATTATGTATTTGAGGCGAACCAGATATCATCAAGATATGATACAAATAGACTAAAATACTTTATTTAAATATAATGTCATATAATTTATCAAAAACTAATTTTTAAATTTTTTTATGCTTTTTTTCTCCCAAATCTAAGCCGCCATAAATTTGGGTTTTTTTCCACTTGAATCGCTTCAATAGTGGAAACGTTTATTTTCACTAATCTTATGCGTTTACACGTCGATCCCAACCAGTTTTAGAGAAAAAACGACCTCAAGTACAATTCATATCCTGTTGGGTAATGTGGGAATATATTGTGTATGCAATATTGGTAGCCTATCCTGTTGAATCATAATTTAGCACCCCCCATAGGATAACAAATCATGTATTGAATAGGATAAAATGAGATAATAGGATAAACTAATCATATCCTATTGACCCACCAAACAAGAGATAAAAGTATGATATGATAAGTTATCCTATCTTATCTTTTTTATCAGGTGCTCCAAACAGGCCCTTAGTGTCATGTTACTCTATTATATTTGATGTGGGTCTCACTCAAAAAGAAAGAAAGAAAAAATAAAAATAAAGTGGGACCATCTTTTTTTGTGAAAATAACATGACACATGACATATATAAAACCCATAATTTATAGATCATATATATGAAGGAAAAAAAAAAAACCCCACCTCTTTCAGGAGCTAGAGGATCAGTGTGAAGCTGAAAGAACATGTCAGAAAAAATAGCACAGTATTTGGCCAATTAATCATTACACACAGTGTTTACCCACACTATCACGCGAAAAAAAAAAACCTCACATTCAATGGTAAATATTTTTTCTGAAAGTAAAATAATTATATTTTTTTATCAGATGCGGATCTTTAACTTTTTGAACATTATCCTTTTCCGTTTTCACTTTCTAAACACTTCAACTTTATGCCAATTTGACAAATACTCTTTTGATATTCGGCGGAGTAAATTGGTTGGGCCGAGTACGACTTTGATTTAAATAGCTTTGTATAGATTTAAAGAATAATCTAATTTAGTTTATATTTAAAAAATAAAAAATTTAGCATAGATTTTTTAGACAGTTTATTAAAATAATTAAAATAAAATAATTAAAATAATATGATTTTATTATTTAAAATTATTAAAATAATTATTTTATTTAAAATTAATAAATATAATATAAGTCAACTTATAAGCTTGTAAACTTATAGACATGGCCTTATAAAAAAAAAAAACATATAACTTTTTTTTAAAAAAAAAAATTAAAAATTTGAGCATGTTCTATTTTACTAAATATAATATGTCAAATCTAATTTAATATAAATTGAACCATAAGTTCTGATGTATCATTTAACTCATTTACACCTATAACTATGACCCCGACATATATAGTGAGTAGTGACTCTAGGTCCGTGGTGACAGTCACGCCCTTCATTTGGAATTTAAGACAAACTTGCCAATAATTTTAAAATTCATAATTAGCCTAAAGCAAAGCATGGGTTTAGTGGGGTTTAACTTTCACTTTCGAATCTAATGTCTAAAGACAAAAGGGGCCATCCAAGGCCACACAACATAGACAGAAACATATCCCTATTAAAATACACTGCAATTTGGAAAAGCCTCGAGTGTTGTATTTTTAATCCGATAAGGACATTCCCCAATCCCAAAAGGCTAACTAAAGCCAAGCCTAATTAAATTAGAGGGGGATATTTTAACTACCAAAAGTGTCTACTATCACCTTACTACCTATCAAATCACCATTGGATCAAAAAGAGAGAATGTTAAAAAGTTTTTAAAGAGAGAGAAAATGTTAATCCAATAGTGATTAGATAGGTAGTAAGGTGGTAGTGGAAACTTTTGGTAGTCAAAATATCCTCCCTCATTAAACTAATAACACCCCATCCCATTAAATTAATCCCGTGTGATTAATTAATCATTGAACTTAATTATGTTTCTTTAGCTAACACACCTCTTTATAGGTGTACACGTACCCAGTACCCTCCAATGTGCGATCTAACATTTTTAATCAGGTTTTGATCGATTCAGGAACAGGTCTTAATTGTTAAAAATGGTTAAATAATGATTAGATTCTCATTTATAGAAGATATTTAATAACCTGCCGACTTGTACGGTTTAAATGTAGGATGGCAAATTTGCAATGGGGCACTTTATAGTATTTGAAGTTCAATGACTCACAATCAACGATATATATTTGTCATTGTATTATATATATATATATATATAAGGGATGATTATATTTACAAACTCTTACAAACTACACTATGTTCTTCTGGAAGAACACTAGGTTACACTATCTTCTCCCAGGGAGTACATAGTGTAATTTGTAAAAATTTATAAAAAAAATTTATAAACGGATTCTTCCCCATATATATATATATATATATATATATATATATATATATATATATATATATATATATATATATGAGGTAGAATCCTTTGACACCGGTGTCAAATTTAAAATTTGACATCTCACTAGATCAAAAAAGATCAATGGTGTCACATACTTACAAATCAGAGTCGTTGATCTTTTTTGATCTAACGACTATCAGATGAGGTGTCAAATTTTAAATTTGACACTGGTGTCAAAGGATCCTACCTTATATATATATATAATATAACTTCTTAAACTATAATCGTTAGATGGACGAAAATCAATGACTAGGATGGTGAGTAAGATTTACTTTGGAATCAAATGATCTCTCTATATATATATATATATATATATATATATATATATATATATATATATATATATATATATATATATGAGAGATCATTTGACTTCAGAGTACATCATCTTAGTCATTAATTTCCGTCCGTCCAACGATTATAATTTAAGAAGTTATATTAATTAATTAAGTGCATAGATTAATAATCAGTTGACTTACGAATCAGCGTATGACAACATTATAACAACACAAATCCATAGGCATGTACCGTGGCGTGCGTGAGCCTGAGGTTCAACTAACGTGGATACACACAAAAATCACGCACAGAAAGGTACATACTTATATAGAGATATAAATGTGTATATATGTTTATAGCTAGGAGTCTAACATAACTTATATAATGGATAGTGAATTATTGACAAAAAAAGAAAAAAGAAAATAAGTAATAAAAATAAGAGTTAATTTAGGAATTTGAACATAAGAATAACATTACCTTTAACCTATACACGAAGAGTGGGCACCAAAAAGCTAGAGACAAAAAACACATACTATTATTAACCTAACTTTTGTCTATTATTATTATTATTGAAGCCTAGGCTATTGATGATTCTGATAAAGAACATTCTCCCATGTTCCAATCTCTCTCTCCCCCCCCCCCCCCCTCTCTCTCTCTCTCCCCACCACCTTTTTTGTTTTATTTTTTATTTTATTTTTCTATTCCCTGCATATAAATCATTATCATATATAATGAAGTGTATGGAAACCATTCTTGTAGTACTTGTAATACTTTACTTCTCGTTGGTTGCATTGTCTTGCTATTTGTAACTGTTTTGGGCTTCCTTTTACACTTTTATTTCGTTCAGGCATATATCAAACACCTTCAAGTTCCTTCACTATATCACCTTCTTGAGTATGGAATTGAAAGAGTTCAGAACCCGAAGCTATGAGGAACAATATGATAGAGCTCAAGTGGAAGATCTTGAGAGAAGATGCGAGGTAGGGCCAGCAGAAAGCGTGTTTCTCTTCACAGACACTATGGGTGACCCCATTTGTAGGATTCGAAACAGTCCCATGTACACCATGCTGGTATACTATATACTTATATGCCACTATTAATAACTTCATGGTTTCCCTTTTATTTTCTTTTAATGGATCATAGTCTTAATCTTCTTCTTCTTCTTTGATCATCATGTCCTCCACTAACTGTTCAATTTGATGTTAGGTAGCAGAGTTGGACAATGAATTGGTTGGTGTCATTCAAGGCTCTATAAAAGTGGTCACAGTTCATGGTCATCCTCCAAAGGATTTGGCAAAGGTGGGGTATGTCCTTGGCTTAAGGGTATCTCCCAATCATCGAAGACAAGGGATTGGATTCAGCCTAGTTCGAAGGTTAGAAGAATGGTTCATTTCCAAAGATGTGGACTATGCATATATGGCTACAGAGAAAGACAACCATGCCTCTGTTAGTCTCTTCATGAACAAGTTTGGCTACACCAAGTTTAGGACTCCAGCTATTCTTGTAAAACCTGTGAACCATCATTCCTTTCAAATCCCATCCAACATTGAGATAGTTAGGCTGAAGATTGAACAGGCTGAATTCTTGTATAGAAGATTCATGGGCTCCACTGAGTTCTTCCCCAATGACATAGATAATATACTTAGGAACAAGCTAAGTTTGGGGACATGGGTGGCCTATTTCAAAGGAGATATTGGTTGGGGTGATTTTGGGTCACATGGACAAGTCCCAAGTAATTGGGCTATGCTTAGTGTATGGAACAGTGGGGAAATATTCAAGCTAAGGCTAGGGAAAGCACCTATTTCTTGCTTGTTATACACAAAGAGTTGGTGCTTGATTGATAAAATATTCCCATGCTTGAAATTGCCTACTTTACCTGATTTCTTCAACCCATTTGGGTTCTACTTCATGTATGGGGTGTACCATGAAGGTCCATTCTCTGGGAAGCTAGTGAGGGCCTTGTGTCAGTTTGTGCATAACATGGCTGCTGAGTCTAAGGATGAGAATTGCAAGATCATTGTGACTGAAGTTGGAGGAAGAGATGAGCTCAATCATCATATCCCACATTGGAAATTGCTCTCATGCCCTGAGGACTTGTGGTGCATAAAGGCATTGAAAAATGAAGGGACAAACACGTTCCATGAATTAACCAAAACCCCACCAACAAGAGCTCTTTTTGTAGACCCAAGAGAGGTTTAAAGTATGATCTCAAAAAGAAATAAAATTAAATTAAAAAAGTAATAAAAGGAGGGGACAAAAAAAAAAAAAAGCTTGGAAAACATCTTCACCTTAAATTTTTCTTTTCTTTTCTTGGCTTTGTCTAAGAACCAAAGCCCACATCGTGTATTGTCTTGATAAGTCCATCTATCTCTTCTGGTGGGGGTTTTTCTCTAGTTCCTTTCCCATCGGTGACACAAAATCTCAAAAGATATCCATAATTTAGGTGCCACACTTCGATGTCCTTCTTAGCAATTCCATCTTGTGCCTCATGACTCTGACTAATCAATTAGCCTGGTGGTCCAAACTTTGTCCCTTCCCCTCAGGTAAAAATTTGAGATGGACCCTCCTCCCTCACTTTTTTGCATCTCATCGAGATATGGTCATGGTAACATCTATGTCATCACTGAAAGAAAAAAGAGTTTTTGAGCCATTTTATGTGAGATCATGAAAGTAATCTTATTCTATTCAAGTCAGAGTACGTTAGACAACTTAATCTGTTCCAATATAAGGAAAAATTAAGCTCAGTATTTGAAGTCTCAGATGGTTGGTTTCTCCTTATTCATTTGTTCTGGAGCATTATTGTCCCTGACTACATGAGAATTGTTGATGGTCTAAAGTTGACATAGCTCGTGGGAATCAACCAAAAAATAAAGACTTGGCAAGGGTTTTTTTCACTTTTCACCATTAATGCAAATGTTGGAGTTAATTAGGGACCTAGTTCTCAGTTAGAACCACAAAGAGCTAGTTGGACTAATGAAATTATATGTATTTACAAAGATTTTGTATTTTTTTCTAACTCTTTTCAGATAACGTACCCTACAAATGATGAAAGTTTTAATCTTACCATAAAGGTTAATTTTTCTCATATTTGTAAAAAATAAAATTATCTCCTATATATACATAATAATATATGGAGTCCATGTAGGAGCTATATAAAGAGAAGAAAGAGAGAAAAAAATAGACTCCACATAATTTTATATATGTATAGGAGATAAAGTTATTTATTATAAAATAAAAATATTAAATCTTTTTATTATATAGTAACTTGGTTAGTCCGAGTAGCGTAGGTTTGCCAACTTGGAAAATAATATTTCAACTTAATTTATTAAGTCCATCTAGATCTCCTACATAATTTCTTCTAAATTTTTTCAATCGGGTCTCAACTCCGTGTAAACACCTTAAAAAAAAAAAAATATTGTGCAGTGTAAATTTTAGCAACAGATCCCTCAAGATGAGTCTTATTTCTCACATACAAGGCCATGCATGGTGCTTCTCGTGCCTTGAAATAGAGGGAGCTGAAAGTTCTCCTATGAAATAAACCAATAAATGCAATGGCGGAGTCAGAATAGCAACCTAGTCAGTGCAAAAAGAATTTAGACCATGCCAAACCTAGTTATGGTTGTTTAGCCACGTCTAAAACGTGGTTAATTTTTAAAAATTAACTTGCAAATTAGCTATAGTAATTTAGTCACGTTTAAAACGTGATTAATTTCTAAAAATTAGTCCGGGCCAAGATCCCACCCTACCCTAACGTGACTTCGCCATTAAATAAATGTGAAGATCACCTACTGTGCATTGGTAATTTCAAATTTATACTTATATCTGACCTGAAATTAAAATGCCTCTGAAACGGAGGGAGCTGAGCTAACCTTGTATTTTCAGACTTCAGGTTAGGAATTGAAGACACATTGAACTTGAAGGCAGTTATTAGCCTCATCACCATTTTTATTAGTAATTAGCGCTACTATATATCTACCACCAAATATATAGGTCAACCGGTAGAATTGTTCTAGCTCAATGATCTCAAGTTCGAGTGTTGATTACACAGTTGTGTTAAAACCTAATCACTATCTCTGACAAACTAGTTAAAGGTTAGACATGTCAAATCTATTTGATCTATCTTATTAATTTTTGACATATTGGATGTCTTGAAGTGAAGCTACCTATCTGTTGCTTGTGCTTTCAATAATGACAAATGCCATTCACTTCACTTCCTGCTTCTTTTCAAAGATATTTCATGACTTAGTTGCCAATCAAATATCAACCTAACCGACTTTACGAGTTCCATTTTAAGTTTATGGTGTAAAATCATTCCAAGGTCACCATATATATCTAATCCCTTGCTTTTCTAATTGCAAATTAGTGCTAACGCAAATCATTTCATTAGTTTGAAATCCAAGAAGAGGAGAAAAGAAAGGCCACTTGTGACTTGAATATTGACATTAATTACATATCAATGGTGGTTGTTTCCTAAATTAGTTTGTCAGCAATGACTTGATACATACTTTCATTTCTAATAAAATGATTAATGAGTCATTTTTTTTAATGCAAACATGAAGTTCTGAACCCAATACATTTCTACAAATTACTCCGAGGACTAGACAAGCAAAAATTTGAAAGGGGTCAAAATGCCAAGATATTTATTTACACATCAAAACAGAATAATTATCTAGTTCAGCAGTGTGGTACATTTGGTACATGGATTATAGAATCAGAATAGGAAAACAAATGAGAGTGCAAAGGAAGTAAGGGTTTGTTGGATTGTATTCTGTATTTTTTGTTCTTAAAAGTTAAAATTGTTTTGTAAAATAATTAATGAAATATTTGTTTTGTGTATTTTTTTTATTTTGAAAGTTAAAGGTCAAAACACAAAACAAAAATAACTCATATATATTTTTTAAATTTAATTCTAAAAACTAAAAAACTTTTAGAATTATTTTTACAAAACAAGCCTTATTAAATAGATTTTTTTTTATTCTAAAATTTAAAAAACTGTTTATAAAAACAGAATTCAAGCAGACCAAAACATTCCTGCTTTAGTGTTTGGTTTACTTCATTCCCGTTTAGTTTTTATGTTTTATATATGAAAAAAATATTTTTATCTTTGTTGTAAACAATTCATTTTTTGCCACGGTTATGTAAAAGTGAGTGTCCCATTATAACGAGAAGAGAGAGAAAAATTGATGAAATATAACGAGACCTACTCACTTTTATATCAATGTGTTAGAATAAAAAAAAAATTCAGGAAAATAAAAAATATTAAACTCTTTATGAATATATTTATTGTAGAATAAAATAAAAATTATTAATAAGAAAATAAAGTAAGTATTATTTCGCTCCAGTCAATAAGAAATTATCGTTCATACTTCTATGAGAGAAATTGGCCATTTGTAACTCTGTAAAATTAAGTCGTTATTACAATCTTAATTTTATGTCTTTTTTACACGCAACTAAAAAAACATCATACCTACCAAGTGGAGGCGAGAGTATAATCACTATTTCAAATATACTCAAAAGAGGAATTACTTAAAATATGATTATATTTAGAGATAATTAATCAATATATTAACTTATAAATTATTTCAAACAAGTATCACAAAAGAATGGACAACTAAATTAAATTATATATCTAAAGGATTGAAATTGAGTATGTAATTTTTTTTATATGTTTTTATGGTAACATGAGTTTGTCACTTTGTTTCTTCTTGTATACTTGTGCCTAGTATCTAGGCTTTATTTAATAGTTCTTCGTTTTTTTTTTTGGGTTTCAACTTGCAATGCAACAAACTGAACAAAGGACTCTTGGGCAGGATACGAGGTGAGATCGAATGGATCTCAGGAGAAGGAAATGCGTGTGCCTCTTGTATAAGGCTGAGGCTTAGCCCAAAGAAATGGGCCCTTTCCGATATACAAACAAATCAACTATTCGGCCATTAAAAAGGAGATTGAGCATTAAAAAAATTAGTTTAAATTTGTTATATTATCATTATAAAATATATGTTGATACATTATTAAAATAATTAAAATTTTAAGGTAATCACTTCAATTATACTTTTTTTATTAATTTAGGAATATATAATTGGATGATTGTGTAAAGAAATTTCTAAATTGTTAATGAGTTAAAATTAATTAAATATTGAAAAATTTATGTATGATAAATTAAAATAACAATGGTTTTTAATAAAATAAGTGAACATTTTGAATATTTAGGAAATAATAATAAAGAGGAGTGACCCAAGGAAAGATACAAATTATTTTATAAATAAATTTACATTTAATTTACTGTCAGTAGTTATAATTATCTGAGTACATTGTAAAGAGGGAAAAATAGGTGCCTTGACATCGAGTGCATTTTCAGTACAACTGGGGTACTGACTTGACTGTGTTTTTTTATAATTTATAGCGAAAACTTCAAAAATCTCCCTGTAAGTTTCTTCAGAATCACTTACTCACTTCTCCAAAATTTTTAATCATTTACCCCCTACCAAAAGTTTTTTTATCATTTACCTCCTAACTTGATTTTCCATCCAAAACTACAGTTAACAGTGTTAATTATTTTATAAAATACCAAAAATACCCTTTAATAAAAAAAATTGACGGTTTACGTGTTAAGAGTTGTTGACATATCCTCTCTTTGTCATAGCCTCTCTTGCTCCAGTTGCAGATTTTCATAGTCGTTGAGCTTCACACCTACATCGGTTTAGCTTCTCCTTTTCTCTACACACACGAAATCATTTGACCGAATCCCTATCCACCGGTGCACACAACGTTTGAGCAATTTCAGGTTTGTCAATCGAAACCCTAACTTGGTATGAAATTTCAGGTTTGTCAATCCCTAACATTTTAGTTAATTGCTCAAAATGCTGTGTTTCTGCAAAAAAAGATAAAAAAAGAGTGCAAATCCACAGGCTTCACGTCTTCTCAATTAGCTAAAAAATGTTTCCCTGCATCTTTGCCTACACATACCCATATTAGGATGATTCAATACCCAATTTGTAAATGCTTTTAATAGTCTCTTTTCTACTTTTTGCATAAATTATATTGTATATCTAACTATATAAATGATGATATTAGTGATTTTAATACCAAGGTATGAAATTCGGTCATGATTCAAAAACACAGCGTTGAACTATTATTTGTGTGCTGCACCAAACCGGCCCGAAGGTCCTGGCTACAAAATGGTAGGCCACACGTTAAGGACTTTAGTGGACTTGAGATAATTATTATACATCTTCATTGTATATTATTGGTAATTAAATTAAAGATTTGAGAATCCACCTAGTTTTTTCCAAAGGAATATTTCTGAAGTAATATGTTGATTATATATGTCCCCAATATTCGTTTTGTCCAAATTGTGCGAATACTCTAACTTACATAACTCTTCCTTCTATTTGATCACTGTAGTGACCTTATATGCTACACTAAACTGAAAGGTTAGAATTCCAGTTCATACTTCATGTTCAATCCGAGCAATTTCATAAAGTCTAATATCACCTGAACTGGATTGTAGAAATTTTTTATAGACTGTTGATAATATTGTCTTGAGCCAGACCCAATATAGAAATGCCATCAACATATGTTAGGTTCTTTTTTTGATTTGCTTTCACCGTCAATGTTTTTTTTAATTAAAGGGTATTTTAGTATTTTATAAAATAATTAACACTGTTAACTGTAGTTTTGGATGGAAAATCAAGTTAGGGGGTAAATGATAAAAAAAATTTAAGTAGAGGGGTAAATGATTAAAAATTTTGGGAAGGTGGATAAGTGATTCTGAAGAAACTTTCAAGGGGGTTTTTGAAGTTTTCTCTAATTTATATTATGTACTCTAAAAGTACATAGTGTAAATTACAAAAAGTACTTTTTTTCACTCCAATACAAAAAGCAGTTGAAGTGGCATCTTTCCATTAACCGGTCGCGTCTACCACCATGGTATTATAGATTTTCCCCTTGACATCATTGTATCATTGTTATTCGCAAAGATTTGGATAAGTGTGATACGAAGTATCAGGGAAAACAGAGAGACACAGAGAGAAAAACAAGAGAAACAGGTTTATTTCATTGATATCCTTCGTTACATTCATCACTTAGTATTTATAGGTTTTGTTCCATTACAAGCAGGGCACGTGGCCACATCTCAATGGGTACAATATAACTAACTACTAACTAACATAGTCATTCCTCCAAACTGGTGTTCTAGTTTTCCTCATTGACTTACGTGTGTTTGTAACAACAGCTCCTCCCTCCAGCGAAACCTTGTCCTCAAGGTTGGAATGCTCAAGCTGATAATTCGGATAAGCTGAGCGAAATGCTTCAACTGGCTCCCAGGTGGCATCCTCTGGAACTGTGTCTGACCATTGAACGAGGAATTGCTCCTCAGACTTGCCATTAATCACTATCGATCGAGTAGCCAGGATGGATAGTGGTAACTGAACAGGTTTATTATCCACACTCATTGATGGAAGAGGAGTAACTGAGACAGTCATATTCCCGCGAAAAGGCTTAAGGCAGGAAATGTGGAAAGTGGGATGAATTCTTGAGGAGTCAGGAACATCCAATTGGTATGCAACTGCACTAATCTTCTTTTTAATCGCAAAAGGACCATAAAAGCGCTTGGCCAGTTTCTGATTCGAACGGTGGATAACTGACATCTGACGGTAAGGTTATAACCTTACTAACACCAAATCACCCTCCGACAGATCCAAATCGCGACGATGGCGATCTGCCTGATTCTTCATCCGGTTCTGTGCACGCAACAAATTAGCCTTTGACACAGAATTGTATCCAATGCTTCAATAGACACTGAACCTCTAGGATAATGAGGAATATTGGAAGGAGCTCGACCATAGAGTGCCTGGATTGGGGACATTTCAATTGCTGAATGAACAGCAGAATTGTAATGTAATTCGGCCCAGCATAGAAAAGTGGACCATTTTTTATGTTGTTCTGAACAAAACGCGCGTAAATACTGCTCCAAATATCGGTTAGTCACATCGGATTGGCCATCCGTTTGAGGGTGATAACTGGAGCTGGCCTTGAGTTTAGTACCACTCAATGAGAAAAGTCGTTGCCAAAACTTACTCGTGAAGATTGGATCCCTGTCTGAAAGCAGCAAACGAGGGAAACCATGTAGCTTAACTATATTTTCACAAAAACATTTAGCCACTGTAACTGCTGTATAGGAAGCAGGAAGGCCAATGAAATGAGAAAACTTAGTTAGTCGATCCACCACTACCAAAATAGTAGCTAGCCCCCTGCGAAATTGGTAAATTGGTTATGAAATCCAATGTAAGGTCTTCAAATACTGCCTCAGGAATGGGAAGAGGTTGTAATAATCCCAAAGGTGCAGAGGTGCTGGTTTTGATTTGCTGACATATGATACACTCTCTGACAAATTGAGTAACATCTCTACGCATATGTGTCCAGTGGAAAGAAGTTGATAAACGAAGGAATGTTCTAAGGGTGCCAGCATGGCCACCTAAGGGAGTCGAGTGAGCCTCCTCCATGACAGCAGATTTCAAAGGAGAATCCAAACTCAAATGGAATCTGCCCTTATGATATACTATCCCATCTCTGCAAGTAAAAGAGGCATCAGTCAAAGAACCATCATTAATTTTTTGATGTAACGCTAGTAACTCAGGATTCTGCAAATTTTCAGCCTTGATACGATCCAAAAGCTCAAAATGGGGTTCTGACATAAGAGCAAGTAAGGAACTCTTAGTGGCATCCTCAAATTGTCTTGATAAAGCATCTGCTACAACATTAGAAGAGCCAGGTTTGTATTCAATTGAAAATGAATATCCAAGGACCTTGTGGACATATCTATGCTGTTCTGGCGTCTGTATAGTCTGAGAAAATAATTCTCTTATACTTTGATGATCGGTTCTGATTACAAAATTCCCGCCAAGGAGGTAATGGTGCCACTTCTTAACTGCCTCAGTGATGGCATATAATTCTCTCACATATGTCGATGAAGCTGCCATTCAAGGGCCTAGTTTCTTACTGAAGAACGATAAGGGTCTGCCATGTTGTATGAGAACTGCCCCTATACCATAGTTGGAGGCATCTGTTTCCACTATGAATACAGCAGAAAAATCAGGTAAGCTCAATATAGGAGTAATGCTCATTGCTGTTTTAAGATCATCGAAAGCTTTTGATGCTGCAGAAGACCAACACAATTTCTCAGATTTCAACAGCTCTGTAAGAGGCCAAGCCACATTTGCATATTGGTGGACAAATTTCCGATAGTAACTGATTAATCCAAGAAAGGCTCGTAGCTGCTTAATATTCACAGGTTGGGGCCAATCAAGCATAGCTGCTACCTTTTGAGGATCAGCCTTGACACCTTCAGCGCAAACTATGTGTCCCAAATAAGAAATTTCAGATTGTCCAAAGGCACATTTGCTAAGCTTAACAAAGAACGCATGATGTTGCAAACAAGCCAGAACAGAATCCAAATGAATGGCATGCTCCTCAATAGTAGCACTGTAGACAAGGATGTCATCAAAGAAGACTATGACAAATCTCCTTAAAAATGGACGAAAAATCTGATTCATAGCGGATTGGAAAGTGGATGGAGCATTTGTTAATCCAAATGGCATTACTAGGAACTCATAATGTCCTTCATGCGTTCGAAATGTTGTTTTATTGACGTTTTGAGGAAGCATACGTATTTGATGATATCCTGCTCTCAAGTTCAGCTTACTAAAAATGGTTGCTCCCAACAATTCATCCAAAAGTTCATCTATCGTTGGTATGGGAAAACGGTCAGGTATAGTGATGGCATTTAATGCCCTATAATCAATACACATCCGCCAATTGCCATCTTGTTTCTTTAGTAATAACACAGGTGAAGAAAAGGAACTTTTACTGGTTTGGATCATGCCTGCTGTCATAAGATCCGAAACTTGCTTCTCCAACTCAGATTTCTGATGGTGTGGAAATCTATAAGGCCGTACACTGACCGGTTTGGCAGCTTCCACTAGGTGAATAGAATGGTCCATCCCTCGAAAAGGTGGCAAGGCATGAGGTGTTTGAAAAACCAATTGATATTTTTTTAGAACCTGCCATAAAACCTTAGCAATAGTAGATTGGAGAGCCATGAGTTCAGGAATTACCTGGACACCAACTTCTGATTCTGCTTGAGCTAGCAGAGTGCAGCAAGAAGCCTGAGATGTATGTACTTTAGAATCTGAATTTGAACACTCAGCAACACCTTGTAACTTCACATCTGAGTCTGCCAAACAAATTCCATGGATTGCTCAACATAGTCATGAGTCACACGGCCAAGGCTGCTCAACCAACTCATGCCCAACACAATACTCAACCCTCGTAGGTCCAGGATCCATAAGTCCACTGGAAAAGAATGATGGTGTATTGCTCATTTTACATCAGGACACTTCCATTCGCAGCATATGAAATCACCATTTCCCATAAACACCTTCATGCCACGAGCTTGGATAATTGGCATCTGTAATGTAGTGGCTAATTCTCTGCTAATAAAATTGTGGGAGCTGCCGGAGTCTACCAATACTCTCACCAGATGATCAGAGATTCGTGCCTCCAGAATTAAAGCTCGAGGACTCAAAGATCCAGATAAAGCATGTAAGGTGGCTTCAACTGATTCATTTTGATTATTCGGTGTCCAGACTATTTCTTCCTCAGCTTCTGGTGTCTCTTCTTCCATCTCTCCAAATAACAAAAGCATTTGTGACTTAGACCGATGCCTAGCTGTCCATTTTTCATCACAAGTGTAACACAAACCAAGTTCCCTCTTCCTTGCAATTTCTTCAGGAGGGAGTCTCTTAATGGGAAGGGTTGAGGAAGACGTTGACATGGTTCTGGGTGTCGTAGTACTTACTGGTTGTGTCATGGTACTGGTAGTGGCTGATTTATGGAAAGAAGAAGCATCAGAATTACTGGTGTGGCTAGTAGACCAGGATGGTTTCTTGGAAGGAATAGACAGTGAAGAACGTAACTGTTCGTGATGAGTATCTAAGGCATAGGCTAATTGCATAGCATTATGTAAGGATTTTGGCCATTGTAACTGAATGGCACCCCTTAAATCAGGATGCAAACCCGAGATAAAGAAACTCATCAATACATCATCAGTAAAACCAGGAACTTGATTCAACAAAATCTCATATTCCTTAACATAATCACACAGAGAACCTGTTTGAGAGAGTTTAGAAAGTGAACCTCTCAGGTCCACAAATGCTGAGACCCCAAATATCTGACGTACTGCTTTTGTGAACTCCTCCCACTGATGGATCGTTCCTGTATGAAACATCCATTGGAACCAAGGAGCTGCTTGTCCTTCCATCTTCAACCCTGCTAACTGCACCTTCAAATGAGGAGGAATCTGTTGCATGCTAAAGTAGAGCTCTGCCTTAAAAATCCAATTATTGGGATCAGACCCATGGAAAGATGGAATTTCCATCTTAACCAATTTCAAAAGCCGCTGATCAGGGGCTTCCTGATGGAAATGCGTATTCGTCATCGAAGAATGATTACTGGAACCCACTGAATGCGATTGAGGTTGAGAATGAAAGATGAACTCCTTCAAACGTGCGTCCATCGCCATAATCGAATCAGTTAACACATCCAATTTCTGATTCAGATCCATGCATGTAGCTTGAATCTCCCGCTGAAATTCCAAGCGAAGATCATCAGCCATTTCTTGAATCTTCATAGTCACATTGGGGTTCAAGATGAAAGCACCAAATGATACGAAGTATCAGGGAAAACAGAGAGACACAGAGAGAAAAATAAGAGAAACTGGTTTATTTCATTGATATCCTTCATTACATTCATCACTTAGTATTTATAGGTTCTGTTCCATTACAAGCAGGGCACGTGGCCACATCTCAATGGGTACAATATAACTAACTACTAACTAACATAGTCATTCCTCCAAACCGGTGTTCTAGTTTTCCTCATTGACTTACGTGTGTTTGTAACAACAACTCCTCCCTCCAGCGAAACCTTGTCCTCAAGGTTGGAATGCTCAAGCTGATAATTCGGATAAGCTGAGCGAAATGCTTCAACTGGCTCCCAGGTGGCATCCTCCGGAACTGTGTCTGACCATTGAACGAGGAATTGCTCCTCAGACTTGCCATTAATCACTATCGATCGAGTAGCCAGGATGGATAGTGGTAACTGAACAGGTTTATTATCCACACTCATTGATGGAAGAGGAGTAACTGAGACAGTCATATTTCCGCAAAAAGGCTTAAGGCAGGAAATGTGGAAAGTGGGATGAATTCTTGAGGAGTCAGGAACATCCAATTGGTATGCAACTGCACTAATCTTCTTTTTAATCGCAAAAGGACCATAAAAGCGCTTGGCCAGTTTCTGATTCGAACGGTGGATAACTGACATCTGACGGTAAGGTTATAACCTTACTAACACCAAATCACCCTCCGACAGATCCAAATCGCGACGATGGCGATCTGCCTGATTCTTCATCCGGTTCTGTGCACGCAACAAATTAGCCTTTGACACAGAATTGTATCCAATGCTTCAATAGACACTGAACCTCTAGGATAATGAGGAATATTGGAATGAGCTCGACCATAGAGTGCCTGGATTGGGGACATTCCAATTGCTGAATGAACAGCAGAATTGTAATGTAATTCGGCCCAGCATAGAAAAGTGGACCATTTTTTATGTTGTTCTGAACAAAACGCGCGTAAATACTGCTCCAAATAACGGTTAGTCACATCGGATTGGCCATCCGTTTGAGGGTGATAACTGGAGCTGGCCTTGAGTTTAGTACCACTCAATGAGAAAAGTCGTTGCCAAAACTTACTCGTGAAGATTGGATCCCTGTCTGAAAGCAGCGAACGAGGGAAACCATGTAGCTTAACTATATTTTCTCAAAAACATTTAGCCACTGTAACTGCTGTATAGGAAGCAGGAAGGCCAATGAAATGAGAAAACTTAGTTAGTCGATCCACCACTACCAAAATAGTAGCTAGCCCCCTGCGAAATTGGTAAATTGGTTATGAAATCCAATGTAAGGTCTTCAAATACTGCCTCAGGAATGGGAAGAGGTTGTAATAATCCCAAAGGTGCAGAGGTGCTGGTTTTGATTTGCTGACATATGATACACTCTCTGACAAATTGAGTAACATCTCTACGCATATGTGTCCAGTGGAAAGAAGTTGATAAACGAAGGAATATTCTAAGGGTGCTAGCATGGCCACCTAAGGGAGTCGAGTGAGCCTCCTCCATGACAGCAGATTTCAAAGGAGAATCCAAACTCAAATGGAATCTGCCCTTATGATATATTATCCCATCTCTGCAAGTAAAAGAGGCATCAGTCAAAGAACCATCATTAATTTTTTGATGTAACGCTAGTAACTCAGGATTCTGCAAATTTTCAGCCTTGATACGATCCAAAAGCTCAAAATGGGGTTCTGACATAAGAGCAAGTAAGGAACTCTTAGTGGCATCCTCAAATTGTCTTGATAAAGCATCTGCTACAACATTAGAAGAGCCAGGTTTGTATTCAATTGAAAATGAATATCCAAGGACCTTGTGGACATATCTATGCTGTTCTGGCGTCTGTATAGTCTGAGAAAATAATTCTCTTATACTTTGATGATCGGTTCTGATTACAAAATTCCCGCCAAGGAGGTAATGGTGCCACTTCTTAACTGCCTCAGTGATGGCATATAATTCTCGCACATATGTCGATGAAGCTGTCATTCAAGGGCCTAGTTTCTTACTGAAGAACGATAAGGGTCTGCCATGTTGTATGAGAACTGCCCCTATACCATAGTTGGAGGCATCTGTTTCCACTATGAAGACAGCAAAAAAATCAGGTAAGCTCAATATAGGAGTAGTGCTCATTGCTGTTTTAAGATCATCGAAAGCTTTTGATGCTGCAGAAGACCAACACAATTTCTCAGATTTCAACAGCTCTGTAAGAGGCCAAGCCACATTTGCATATTGGTGGACAAATTTCCGATAGTAACTGGTTAATCCAAGAAAGGCTCGTAGCTGCTTAATATTCACAGGTTGGGGCCAATCAAGCATAGCTGCTACCTTTTGAGGATCAGCCTTGACACCTTCAGCGCAAACTATGTGTCCCAAATAAGAAATTTCAGATTGTCCAAAGGCACATTTGCTAAGCTTAACAAAGAACGCATGATGTTGCAAACAAGCCAGAACAGAATCCAAATGAATGGCATGCTCCTCAATAGTAGCACTGTAGACATGGATGTCATCAAAGAAGACTATGACAAATCTCCTTAAAAATGGACGAAAAATCTGATTCATAGCGGATTGGAAAGTGGATGGAGCATTTGTTAATCCAAATGGCATTACTAGGAACTCATAATGTCCTTCATGCGTTCGAAATGCTGTTTTATGGACGTTTTGAGGAAGCATACGTATTTGATGATATCCTGCTCTCAAGTCCAGCTTACTAAAAGTGGTTGCTCCCAACAATTCATCCAAAAGTTCATCTATCGTTGGTATGGGAAAACGGTCAGGTATAGTGATGGCATTTAATGCCCTATAATCAATACACATCCGCCAATTGCCATCTTGTTTCTTTAGTAATAACACAGGTGAAGAAAAGGAACTTTTACTGGTTTGGATCATGCCTGCTGTCATAAGATCCGAAACTTGCTTCTCCAACTCAGATTTCTGATGGTGTGGAAATCTATAAGGCCGTACACTGACCGGTTTGGCAGCTTCCACTAGGTGAATAGAATGGTCCATCTCTCGAAAAGGTGGCAAGGCATGAGGTGTTTGAAAAACCAATTGATATTTCTTTAGAACCTGCCATAAAACCTTAGCAATAGTAGATTGGAGAGCCATGAGTTCAGGAATTACCTGGACACCAACTTCTGATTCTGCTTGAGCTAGCAGAGTGCAGCAAGAAGCCTGAGATGTATGTACTTTAGAATCTGAATTTGAACACTCAGCAACACCTTGTAACTTCACATCTGAGTTTGCCAAACAAATTCCATGGATTGCTCAACATAGTCATGAGTCACACGACCAAGGCTGCTCAACCAACTCATGCCCAACACAATACTCAACCCTCGTAGGTCCAGGATCCATAAGTCCACTGGAAAAGAATGATGGTGTATTGCTAATTTTACATCAGGACACTTCCATTCACAGCATATGAAATCACCATTTCCCATAAACACCTTCATGCCACGAGCTTGGATAATTGGCATCTGTAATGTAGTGGCCAATTCTCTGCTAATAAAATTGTGGGAGCTGCCGGAGTCTACCAATACTCTCACCAGATGATCAGAGATTCGTGCCTCCAGAATTAAAGCTCGAGGACTCAAAGATCCAGATAAAGCATGTAAGGTGGCTTCAACTGATTCATTTTGATTATTCGGTGTCCAGACTATTTCTTCCTCAGCTTCTGGTGTCTCTTCTTCCATCTCTCCAAATAACAAAAGCATTTGTGACTTACACCGATGCCTAGCTGTCCATTTTTCATCACAAGTGTAACACAAACCAAGTTCCCTCTTCCTTGCAATTTCTTCAGGAGGGAGTCTCTTAATGGGAAGGGTTGAGGAAGACGTTGACATGGTTCTGGGTGTCGTAGTACTTACTGGTTGTGTCATGATACTGGTAGTGGCTGATTTATGGAAAGAAGAAGCATGAGAATTACTGGTGTGGCTAGTAGACCAGGATGGTTTCTTGGAAGGAATAGACAGTGAAGAACGTAACTGTTCGTGATGAGTATCTAAGGCATAGGCTAATTGCATAGCATTATGTAAGGATTTTGGCCATTGTAACTGAATGGCACCCCTTAAATCAGGATGGAAACCCGAGATAAAGAAACTCATCAATACATCATCAGTAAAACCAGGAACTTGATTCAACAAAATCTCATATTCCTTAACATAATCACACAAAGAACCTGTTTGAGAGAGTTTAGAAAGTGAACCTCTCAGGTCCACAAACGCTGAGACCCCAAATATCTGACGTACTGCTTTTGTGAACTCCTCCCACTGATGGATCGTTCCTGTATGAAACATCCATTGGAACCAAGGAGCTGCTTGTCCTTCCATCTTCAACCCTGCTAACTGCACCTTCAAATGAGGAGGAATCTGTTGCATGCTAAAGTAGAGCTCTGCCTTAAAAATCCAATTATTGGGATCAGACCCATGGAAAGATGGAATTTCCATCTTAACCGATTTCAAAAGCCGCTGATCAGGGGCTTCCTGATGGAAATGCGTATTCGGCATCGAAGAATGATTACTGGAACCCACTGAATGCGATTGAGGTTGAGAATGAATGATGAACTCCTTCAAACGTGCGTCCACCGCCATAATCGAATCAGTTAACACATCCAATTTCTGATTCAGATCCATGCGTGTAGCTTAAATCTCCCGCTGAAATTCCAAGCGAAGATCATCAGCCATTTCTTGAATCTTCATAGTCACATTGGTGTTCAAGATGAAAGCACCAAATGATACGAAGTATCAGGGAAAACAGAGAGACACAGAGAGAAAAACAAGAGAAATTGGTTTATTTCATTGATATCCTTCATTACATTCATCACTTAGTATTTATAGGTTCTGTTCCATTTCAAGCAGGGCACGTGGCCACATCTCAATGGGTACAATATAACTAACTACTAACTAACATAGTCATTCCTCCAAACTGGTGTTCTAGTTTTCCTCATTGACTTAC